TATTCTGGAGCCACGCTGAATCGGGTCCCAGACTGCACCAAGGAGGACTGGGGGCTGCATGAAAGGTTGCATTTGGGGTCAGAATTGAATTCCCTGACGAGGGGCAGTTGGCTGCCCTCTAACCCCCAGTCCTCCTCTCTCTAAACAGAAAAGAGCCACACCCTAACCGATTTACCAGAGCCAAGGTTGTGGAATATTAATATGGATTTTACTCTGATGACTGAATGAAAGGACCTCAGTTGTTTCTAGGAGATGAGATCTCGATGTCACCTCCACAGGGCATGGGAGCTGCGGGGAGAGGGGTTTGAAAGCCAAAGGAGATACAAAGCAAGGGAGAAAGCCACCTCCCTCCTGACGGTGGAATGAGCAGCTGCTCAGAAAGCTTTACCCAAAAAATGGGCCTAGGGTGTCAACCGTGGAAGGTTGGTGTGATGGCTGGCTTTATGTGTCAACTTGGCTAAGCTATGGCACCCAGTTATTTAATGAAATGTCAATATAGATGTTGCTGTGAAGGTAATTTTTAAAATGTGGTTAACATCTGCAATCGGCTGACTTTAACGAAAGGAAATTACCCTCAATAACGGGGGTGGACCTCATCCAATCAGTTGAAGGCTTTAAGAGCAAAAACTGAGATTTTTTTCTAGAGAAGGAGAAATTCTATTCATCCCAGCCTGCCCCCGGGATTGTGGACTTGCCAGGCCCATAATGGCGTGAGACAATTCCTCTGGGTTCTGTTTCTCCGGAGAACCCTGACTGACACAGCTGGGAAGCAGCATCTGCTTGGAAGAGGGAGAGATGGACGGGGACAGTGTGCCGAGGACAAAGGGGAAGGGATTCAAAGGCATTCCTGTCGCTCCTGCCCAAAATGACCACTACATCAGGCCAAGGAGAGTAACTGGGACGCAGTGTCAATAAAGAAGAGCGCCTTTGCCTCGGGGACCAGAGTGGCTGACAGCCATCACTTTGACTTTGGAGGGTGTCAGTGAGAAGTGAGCGATCGTGCTTGCTGGCATGAGCTTCGCACTTCCCAAAGCTGTCCCTGCGTTTCCTCATTTGGTTTCCACACCAGCCCTGCATGTTGGCAAGGGCAAGGTTGAGTCTGCCCATTTCACAGATCAGAAAGAAAAGAGCTACTGGGTACCCCAAGGCTGGGGGCTCATGGATGCCTTGAAGAGAGGGAATAGTGTTTCAAGGGCTTCCTAAGTGAGACGAATCAGGAGGCTGGGGTCAACCTCTTCTGCCTTCACCTGGGACTGAGATGGCTCCCGCACCAATACAAGACATCTTGCATGTTAGAAATGATCTACTTGAGAACGGTCCTGAAGGGAGGCCCTGTGGCTGAAGAGAGGCCTCCCCAGAGAGTTGGAGGGGAAAGGCTTCAGAGGACACAGTCTTTTCTAGGGGATGATGAGTGGTGGCAACAAAAGTTACCCTTGGGCAGAAACAGCTGGGGAGCCATCTGTCTGGGAGAAGCCTCCGGCCTGTTTCATTACCCCTTTTCCTGCATTGTGAGAGGCCTGGCCGCTGACAGGAGGCGGTTTACTGCAGAGGGAACAGAAGGAAACCAGTTGGCACTTGTATAACCTTGGCCTCATTAGCATCCAAGCAAAGCCCACTGGGCTATTGACTTCCAGTAAATATCCACCCACCAGGAAGATTCCCCCAGCCCCGCCTCAGGGGTGTTCAGACACCAGACAGGGCCTTCTTGCTCCTCCATCCCGGGCTTTGTCATCCAGGAGCCGCTCCTCCCCACCCAGGATCTTCCTTCCGGCGGAGCCCGTGGGGGAAAGAAGGAAGGAGACCTCCGTGGTCACCTCTGTGAAAGTCTCCCATTCTCTCGCTCCAAAGGGCCAAACAAATAAACCTCACAAAGGCGGTTCAGCAAGTGAAGTGTACACAATTATATTTCCAACTGCTTTGAAAACTTTTATTTCCGTACAGCAAATGACACATTATCTTTCCGGAGGTCAAGGAATAATGCAGTCGGATTCTTGCGACATTGCGAGAGCTAATGTTTCTATTTGCCATTGTGTCCTATGCAAAGAAAGGCGGCCGGTCACCTGGGGTTAGCACAACACGGCGTGGAGAAGGTGGCATCCACCAGAAGTGCTTTGAAAATGTTGGACACTATTGTGCAGGCGGGCTCCTTCCTGGCCCCGCTGTGTGATGGGCCTCCGGGTGCTGAGGAGAGAAGCGATGCTATGCTTGGAGTGTCAGGGGTAGGACTCTCCTGAAGCTGCCTTCATAATTTCCTCGAACTTAAGGACTTTGATTTGTTAATAGTAATTGAAACAGATAATTCAATTGAAGTGTCACTCGGCTATAATAATTGCCAAGGAAATTGAACCACAAAGAAATACCATAAATTGCAACTTAACGTTTATTGGAGTCCTTGGAGCTACTAATGTTTCCCCAGGTATCTTCCCTTCCATCTTTTGAATGTGCCTCCTCATTCATGCTGCCCTTTCAGAAATACCTTTGCTTCTTCCTACATTTTCAATCGGTGCATTTGGCCCCTCTTAACATGCTTATCATTGCAAAGTACTTGTTATATTAATCATCTGGTGAAAACTTCAGCTAAACTCTTTATTGTCAAATGTCAGCTTCCTCCCATTCTATCTACAGTGTTTTCTTTGCTTTTGTAGGTTGAAATGATGCTTCATATATTGAAAGGGCTGTGGGAGTATCCACTGCTGTCATTGTGATTCTACACATTTTCTTAACAGGAAACCATCTTTGCAAGGGTTTATTATAACACCACTGAACCATGTCCAGGACTTAGAACAATACAAGAAGCCACCTTACCCTCCTCAGGGGGCCTTGCTTGGAACATTACTATTACTACTATCGTTATTAATTCCAATTGATGATGGGGAAGGAAACGCTTCACCTCCTAATGCTATGGAATGCACAGCCTCCCCTTTCTTATTCCACCCCCACAATCACCCTTGCCCAGGATTCTGATCCATTGTCACGACCACGGCTCCCCTTCTTCCTCTCACCTACCCCATTTTACTCCTAGGAAACATCTGGTGTGAGACTGATTTATAACAGGAGACCCAGTCAGAACTCAAGCCATGTCTTCATTACCAGGAGCCTATGGCAAGCTTTCAGTTCAATTAAGGGAGAAAAACATGGAAGGGAGAGCAAGAGAGACAAAGAAAGAACAGGAAGAGTGAATAAAAGAAAGCAAGGGAGAGAAGCATGGGGAGGAAACAAGGATGTAACCACACGCCTCCTGGAAAAAAAATCTGTAATGTAGAGTTAAGTCTGTGAGTCTGTGTGTAGGGGCAGGGGGAGTGAGATGCAAAATATGTGCCCAAAAGGACTGTAACTACATGAAGTCTCTATTTATGCAGACAATGGGAATAGAATTCACCAGAATGAAGACAGGTATCTGTAAGGTTATCAGGATCATAAGTATTATTTTCTCCATTTTTTAGACTTTCAATTATGCACCATCTTTATAACAGAAAAGTGGAAGAAATGTTGAGAGCGGTGTAGAGGCACAAACACAGCTGCCCCTTCTAAGCCCCTGCCTCTGTGCTGTGTTGAAGTCCATGGCCTGGGAGCAGGGAAAGGTGGTCTGAAGCTCTATCCTCAGGGCGTGTCCCCTGCTGTCTTCACTCAGAGCCCCCCCAACAACTCCCCTAAGGATGAGCTGAAGGAGAGCTGGAAGCCAGGGAAGAGCTTTATGTAGGGATGTGCTGACCCCAAAGGACCTGTTTAGAATTCCTTGGAAATCAAGTATTGCCGGAACAGCCCATGGCAGCTCTTACGTGAATCTTCCTGAATGTTTGAATTTGACATATTTTAATTGAAAAATTCTCGCCTTTTTTCTTCTCTCTCATAATGTACAGCCATCCCCCATGGTAGTATATATATTAGAATCAGTACCACACAAAGGCATGACATGAAGAACCAAAAGCATTCCATTGTCCGGAGGACAATGTAATTAAGTACAAAAAGTTTGGGGCCCTGAAGTCACCCAGACTTGTCATCCCCATTTGGCAACTGAATGAAGCCTGCTGGGCCTCAATCATGGCCATGGCTAAATGAGGGTAATTTAGCTGGCTTCATTGGGTTGCTCTGCGAAGGAGAAGGTCTAAGGTTTGTGATGTGTGTAACAGGCTTCGAGTATTTTAAGTACTCCACAGGTGTTCCCGCTCCTTCTGAACCAAGGAGTCCTGTTTATTCCTCTTCACCTCACTGAACCCTTCTACTTCAAAAGAATGTAAAATAACACTCTGGGATGACCTTACTCATTATCACATGCGTTCAGATGTGCCACTGATTAAATCGTGACCCTTAAAATGTTCTTTCCACACGCAGTGGCAAAGTCTTGTAAAACACACTTGCTTGACAAGTTCCAGTGTCTAAAGGGGTGGTGAGGTGCTCTGGAGGAGTACTCGCTGGACTAGGATCCAGCAGTTCCAGGCTTGGCTTAGATCCAAATTGTCACAAGCACGGTGAGTGACTTTGGACAAGACACTGCTTCTTAGGACCTCAGTGGTCCCCTCTGTAAAATGAGGCGAAATGGCCAGAAGCAGGAATTTTAAACACATTTAATCAGTACTTTCCTGTTCAAATGGAATCCTACCTCTAACAGAGATGCTCTGGCTGTGGCAGGGGGCAGTGCTTGGTGACTCCCTCTCTCGGTGATTTACTTTGAGATCCATCTTCAAAGCCATAGAGCAGGCCTGGAAACCACAGGTTTTTTATACTCTCGCAAATCACTTGACAGTCTAACAGTCCACAATTTTACATATGCCTATCCTGATTTATCAAGATTTCATCACAAGGCATGAGTATTTTGTAAAGTACTATCATCAATATATACCAAAGCATATGATCACATTGTTTTGTTGACTTCTATTGCTGGACAGTTAAAGAATATTCAACTCAGGACTTTGCTTTCCTGAGTGCCTGCTATTTTGGTTTTTATTCCTCTTTTTCTTCTTATTTTTTTTTAACTTTCCTTCATCCCTGCTCTTTTCCAGAAGGAAACCCCATCTTGCTGATACTCTCCTGGATCAAATTCCCCTGCTGACTTCCTTCCCTCGATTGCCTCGCATGTTTGACAGTGAACAAGGAGGTAGGATGCTTGTCATTTGGGAACACTTCTCTCTCTCTCTCCTCCCTCTCTCTCTCTCTCTCTCTCTCTCTCTCTCTCTCTCTCTGTGTGTGTGTGTGTGTGTGTGTTTCTATAGATTTCTGTCCCATGCTCTTCCCCCTTCCTCTAAATGGGTCCAAGAACCAGCAGCAACAGCATTACCTTATAGGCTCTTTAAAAATACAAATTCTTGGGTCTCATCCCATTTTTACTGAATCAAAGCCTCCAAGGTTTGAGGTTAGGAAAGCAGATGATAATATTAGCTTCCAAAGTGAATGTTCATCTCCTTAAATTTTGAAAAAACCTTTCAAATGACTCTCTCCCATTTCTCCATCTCTCGCTCCTCGGCTTCGTCCCCCTCAGTTCTCATCCTAATTACCAGCTGACTGGTGGATGCCACTGCTACTTAAATGCGCTCCCACTCTGGATCCCTAATCATGCCCATTGTACTCCTCAAAGCTAAGTCAAGAATCGCTGCCTTTTTATTCCCCTCTCTCTATATATATTGTAGAAGGAAGCAGGTCCCTGCGCTTTTGTTGTCTCTACTTCTGGGCTCAGCTCCATTTGCTGGTGAACAGGCCTTATCTTCACTCTCCCCCTCTAACTACCGTAACATTCGGCATCCTTTCATGTCTGTGCTTTTAAAGTAAATCTTTGGACAATTAAAGATATGAAATGGCTAAATAGAGTTCTGCAGGCGTTGTTCTCTCCTTTTTAAAGGTTTAATCACACTTAATGGCTCTCTTCAAAACTTGAATTTTCCATTTTGGTGTTTTGACTCCATTGAAAGAGTTTACTAATATTCTTTCAAAAGTATTCTCTGCTCAAATGAGCTATTCAATAGAGCTTTATGCCCGGCTATAGGATGTATGTTACATGGAAAATAATTTAAAGGGAGATCAGAGTTGGGGGTTCCATTCCTCGCTACAGATTTTGTTAGTTAAACCATAATCATTAATATGGGATCCATTGAACGTTGGTGTGAAGGAACAAGAATGACCATTTAGATAAAAGGGCATATTTCAAATCCTGTTTCAAATGCAATTTAAATACCCCTTTCCTTGAAGATAGTTTAGTTTGGCCTTGTGATTCTATAAATAGGAACTGGTAATAAATTCTCCTTTCCTCCCTCCCTTCACCTCCTCTCTATTTTTCTTCCTCAAAAGTAGTAGACAATGGAATATGGGAAAGTAAAAGGAAACCATTGTATGACCAATGTCTGTTTCAGATTGTTGTAAACAAATTGTCTTGACTCTTCCCAGTCTTGGTCCTGCTGAGCTATATCTTGTTCTGTCTCATCACCGTCAGGAGTAGGAAGCCGGCCGGACACTGAGTACCCCCTGGGTCATACTCACACTCCAAATGATAGAATTTGCTACTTGCAAGGGAAATTTAGTGGAAAATAAAAGCCGGTACTTCCTGACAGCATCTTTATTAACCCCCAGACTCTCTGGTGGGCTAAGTGATTTGGATAATGCATGTGATGCTAATGAGACACATGGGCTCAGATGAGGAAAACTGACGTTATGTGTCTGTGACCTAATAGGGACACCCCATCTCCCTGCTGCCTTCCGCTTTCCCTAATTCTTTGTTCCCACAAGTAGCCGTTGAGTACCTGCAACATGCCCGGTAGCATGGTAAGTGCTAGGACAAGTTTGAGAGAATTGTGACCTGACCTTGAGGAGTTTAACCAAAGAAAAAAAGAAATATTGAAGGTAATGGAAAGAACCCAGAGGACATGACCTGCGGTCCAGGCCATGGTGGTTCACTAACTACATGGTCTCCGAGAAGGCATTTCATTTCTATGAGACCCTGTGTCTCATTCATGGAGAGAGTTGCTGAGATCTAGTAGCATTTACTACTTCTAAAAGTACTTATTATTTATTTAAGCTCCAGGAGAGCAGGGACCTTGGCTGGTATTCATCTCTGCATCCCTAGTGCCTAGAACAGTGGCTGGCATAGAGCAGGTGCTCCATAAATAGTTGCTGAATGGATGCATGTGTTACAGTTGAAGAACTCTTCATGAAGCCTGAACTGCTGACCTTGACCTGAGTTTGTAGGCGTGGTAGGATTTGCACTGGACAGAGGAGGAGGAGAGTATTTCAAAAAGAGAGCAGCAGAGGGAACAAAATGGGGTCAAATAATTTCAGTTTCAAAGGTACCAAAGAGACCAGTTTGCACACAGCAGTGATGGATGTGTCTGGGAAGAGTGGATGTGGGCCAGATTTCAAAAGGCCTTAAATGCCAGGATTAGCCAGTGGAGAGATAGAGAAGGTTTTGGATCCTGGGTGTTATTTGAAGGAAGTGATATTTTAGGAAGATTAATCAGGCAAAATATTCAAGACTGAAGGTGGCAGAGAAATAAATTAAGAGGACGTTGCAATAACTGAGGTATCGGATGGCAAGACCTGAATTAGAATCACGGAAATGGAATCAAAAGGAAGGGAGAAAGCAGGAATCGATGGAACTGGGTCACTGAGGAGCTATGAAGAGATGAGGGAGGAGAAAGCATTTAAGGTATAGAGACTAGAGATCTGGTAGAATTAATAGAAATGGGCAGGGGTCCACTTATGAGAGAAATATAGTGAAATCATTGGGGTGTTGGTAGAATACCCAAGTGGAAATGTCCAGCAGGCAGTGGTATACGTGGGGCTGGAGAAAGGAACGCGGGTGAGGACCAAAGATAGCAGATGTGGAAGCCATTTCCTTGGAGGCGGCTGAGAAGAGACGGCTTCTTTAAAGAAGAGCAGAGATGCCCTGGCCAGTTTGGCTCGGTGGATAGAGCGTTGGCCTGCGGACTAAAAGGTCCCATTCGATTCCCGCCAGGGGCACATGCCGGGGTTGGGGGTTTGATCCCTAGTAGAGGTCATACAGGAGGCAGCCAATCAATGATTCTCTCATCATTGATGTTTCTATCTCTCCCACTCTGAAATCAATAAAAATATATTAAAAATAAAGAAGAGCCGTAACCTGTTTGGCTCAGTGGATAGAGCGTCGGCCTGCGGACTGAAAGGTCCCTGGTTCGATTCCGGTCAAGGGCATGTACCTTGGTTGCGGGCACATCCCCAGTAGGAGGTGTGCAGGAGGCAGCTGATCGATGTTTCTCTCTCATCGATGTTTCTAACTATCTCTCTCCCTTCCTCTCTGTAAAAAATCAATAAAATATATTTTTTAAAAAATAAAGAAGAGCAGAGGCCCCAGGGCAGAACCTGAGTGAATGGGTTAGTCAGGGGTGAGAGGAGGAAGACTAGAGGCAGGAGCAGGAGTTCTCAGAAAGGAACAAACTAGGACAAGGGAGGCACGACTCCAAGTTATTTCGGGCTATTTAGATAGGATATTTGAAGGTCATGATATATGAAGAACGGTCATCATTATGATAAAAATCCTAGTGTAAGAGATGGTCAAGCATATCAAATGCTAGAGATGATGTCAAGGAAAATGAAAAATTAGAAAAGGTCTTTAGATCTGCCCATTAGGAGATCATGGAGAAGAACAGGAGAGAGATGGAAAGATTTTCCTACAAGGGAACTTATTTCACAAGGGAATTTTACACATCCCAGCCTTTCTGTCAGAACACATGTTGGGAACTCCTCAGTTCCCTTATCTTCTCCAATCCACAAGGAATGTCACATGGGGAGGTCGTTATAAGCCATGTGATGGCAGCCCAGTCTGTGTTCTCCACTAAGAGCAGGTCAGCAGTTACTGATTAATCACCCACTCTAAGAGGAGTGACTGATTTCTTACCCCTGACACCTGCCATCACCACTTCTTTGTTTTGCCTTCTTCTGGGACCAAGGTTTTATAAATAACGTGTTTTCAAGACAGGGGAGAAAGTCACAACAAAATGCTAAACAAGCCTTGATGAAGAGTTTGGCTTCTACGAGTTTAGTTTCATTCTAGAGAGACAAGTTGGGAAGTTGGGTTCCATTAGCTATAGAGCTGACCTAACACATATATCAGAAAGGGTGACGGGGAGCAGAGGATGAGGAACCAGGCCCACATATATGCTAGGTTGCTGGCTAGCAACTTGCTAACATGTGGGGGTGCATTTTAAAATAGCCCATCTCTAAGATACTTCCCCCAATCTGCCCATTTAGGCATGGCATTCATTTAAAGGGACAAAGCCATGAATCCACAAGGACAGGTCAAGCTTAAAATAGGAAAATTATACTGTGTCCCCACCCCCATCATCACTTAGTTTACAGTAACCCTAATGAACAAATGACTTGCAACAAGGCATAAAAACCACAGTTTGACTTTTTAAGACTTATCGCAATGTCCCTAAAAGCTGCTGATAGAAGATGGTTTCAAGTTTTCTTAGCATAACTGACTTGGCTCACCTGTTCTGATAAAGCGCAAGGCTAGGAGGTGGGATGGGGAGGGTCAGTGGGAGGGCAGTGCCCGAGGTTCATTTGCTTGTTGAGTTAGGGAACGTTTCTTCAATTCAACAGTAAGAGTCTATGACAGACTTGTCCTGGAGATGTGGAGGTGAAAGCAACATCTCTGCCCTCAAGAGACGCTAATGCAGTGGCCGGAGCAGACGCAGATTACAAAACAAAGCCAAGTGCAAGGAGAGAGAGCGGGCGAAGGTTTCAGGAGGAATGGATGTGCTGGGAGGAAGTCCTGGCCCTGACCGGATGTCACAGGGGAAGGTCACAAAGGCTTTTTGCAGGGACCTTAGAGGTGAGATTCCTCTCTTCTATCCTCAAGAGTCAATGCCTTCTCAGAGTCGGTGCAGGAACGTGCTGTCTCAGTCTCTCCACCACCCATTCCCTCTCCTCCGAGGAGGGGAGAAAAACCAGTCACTACCAGAGAAGGCGAAGTAGGGTTTATGGCGCTTGTGAATACTTTCAGGCCAGCTGCCCCATCTGGACTAAAGGGAGGACAAATCAGGACCTTCCAGAGGTCAGGACCCACCAGCTCCCTGGGAGGAGCCTGGTGCATCGGAGTGACAGCTTCCACAGGGTGGCAGTGGAGGAGGGTGTCCAGGGGCTGGTGGCCTAGTGCCAGCTAGGGAGGCCTGGGGGCCTGCTGGAACGGACCAGAGAAGGGTGATGGCGAGCAGGAGATGAGGAACCGGGCCCACAGGGAGCTTTCATGAAAGGAAATGGCCTACTTCTGATGGGTCTCTTGAGGAAAGCAAGAAAGTGCTGGGAGGGGCCAAGCCCGACTTCCCCAAGACTGGAGGGAAGTCGCTCACCCCGCCTGTGATTTTTGCACAGCCTTATTAGAGAGGCAGGGTTTTCAGCTTTGGGCTTAACTTGGGTCCCTTTCTCTTGCTTGCTCTGGAGCATGACCTTGGGAAGAACCAACCTTCTCATTTGCAAGGCTTTGCACTGACTCCCCGAACTGTCCCCCCAGAATGGGTCCCTCCCTTTCTATCAAACTTTCACCTCCTACCACTCTTATCACCTGACTTTATTCCCAGGAGACCCTTGTAAGATGAGGAAGGAACTGACTTCCACCTTCGTTGATGGGGGCACAGGAGCCTAGCGAGCTAATGGCACCCACCAAGGTAGCTGGGCAGCACAGCAGGGGGTCTGACCCATACCCGTCCCCCAAGAATGTTCACTACAAAGCTGTCAGCGGGACCCATGCAGGGGCGCTGGAGGCCGAGACAGGCTGGGACAGTATTGTAGGCCCAGAGCTTCTGAATTTGCTGGGACTCATGACACAGTGTGAAAAGGTGTGGAGAGGGTCCTTGGGCCTCTTTTTGACTTGACCACCCTTTTGCTTTTTGTTCCTCACACTCTGATAGCAGAGACTTGCCAATAAGAGGGTTTGATGGGGGACAGCAAGCAGGCTGATCCTGAACCCCTGAATGTTGGAGGAGGCGGCACCCTGGGACAGGAGGGCTAGAAACAATCCCGGCTGACTGCTCCGTGCAGGCCCCAGGTCAGCCGTTCCTGGCTCTAGGAGGTTCCTCGTCTAAGAAAGACATCCCCGCAATGTTTCCATTTCCAAGAGAAATCGCTTCTCTCCCTGCATGTTTCCTTCAACTCTCAGCAAGACCCGAGCAAGCGCGTGAAGGTTGTAAACCTGCTACTTCACTGGGGCTGTTTATTTCCAGTCGACAAATACTGCGCCAATGTTCACTTCAATTAGGAGACACACTTGACAATCTGACTACTCCATCTGATGCCTCAAGGGCAAATTTCAGCTCTTTCCGGAAGGGACAGGCCAACACCAGATCCATATGAATAAAATATACCGACAAGGAACGTTCGCGGCAGTTTGGGGAAACCACCTTCTGCAGCGAGGAGAGTTAAATGTCGACATGAAAAAAAAAATTCACATAAATAAAGCATGGGGCTCAAGCTGGAGGGAGGCTGGGAATTCAGAGTGGGAGCTACGGCGCCTGCTTGCCCTTTCCCTGCCTGGAGTTGGGGATTGAGTGAGAATCCGCACCAAGGAGTCTGAGATCTTTGTAATTCTGCGGGAGAAACCGTGGTAGCAGTTAAACTCCCTAAGAACTTTACTAGTTTATTTCAGCTTTTAAAATCATCCCAGCAAACAGAAGTTCTCCTTGGTGTCTAATTTCAATCCTTCTGTTTAATCGCCTCTCTTTGTTACTAGCCTGAAGACAACCAGAAAAGCAACTCAGCATCTGGCTTTCTGTGGCCTGGGAGAAGAAGGCAGAGACCGGCGCCCACCCACAGAGTTCGTCCTGCGCAGAATCAACCCTGGCTCCAAGCTCCTCTCTCCCTGGCGGGAGCAGACTGGAATAAGAGGTCAGACCCCTGCTGCCTCGGTGGGTGCAATGGGTGCCGTTAGCTCTCTAGGCTCCTGTATCCCCATCAGCGAAGGTGGAAGTCAGTTCCTCCCTCATCTTACCAGGGTCTCCTGGGAATAAAGTCAGGTGATAAGAGCCGCAGGGAGTGAAAGTTTGATAGGGACCCGTGCATTGGATTATCTGGTTCCTGTATTTGGAGCTTGCCTGGTCTCAGGTGCAGTGAACTCCTGGCAACAGCTTGGTCACTGAGTTCAGAAATGAAAACCAAAAATGCCTGTAAGTCAATGTATCTCAGACTTTACATTCATCTAGTTCCTGGATAGGTAAGCCTGGGTTATCTTAACTACCTGTGTTTGTATATATTTTAAAAAGGACCTCACTCAGCTTCTACATAAGCTTGTTAGTAGAATGAGATTCGTTTTATAATACTGACAGGTATATTCCTTTTTTAAAAGGGCATTATAACCAGCTGTTGTTAGAATAGAAAGAAATCTCTTGAGTATGACATTAATACCACTGTTTCACTTATCATTAAGACATTGTATTTCTATTATTAGCAAATGCTTATAATAGTACCTAATTAAATGTTCTTGGATTTACACTAGCAGTATTTGGTAAATCTCTAGTTATTTTCAATTCTCTCATTTTCATTCATTCATTCAGCAAACATTTACAAGAGCCTAGCATAAGTGAGGATGCTGGGGAAGCTATGAAGTGAAGACTCATTTCCTCCCTCCAGGAGACCGAAGGACAGACAGACAGCCTATGCAGAACGGAAATGAAGCAGAGGGGAAGAGGCATCAGCTCTGTGCTGAGAAGTGGGCAGGTTTGACCCAAGACTCAGAATGGGAGCAGGAGGTTGTGGTGGAGAAAAGGGTGAAAAGGACATTAGGGGGAGGGCACCGCTTATGCGAAGGCGCAGAGTCCCAGCTGAGACAACACAGATCTAGGTCCCAGAACTGGGCTCGGTTTTCTTCATCCTTCCCCCTCCTTTCCCCACATTCCCTCCTCCACTTTCCCTCCCCCTGCTACCAGGTTTCTCTTCACTCCCTCTTTCTCTTTCATCCTCATGACTTAACACTAATTTTTATCTCACCTCCAATCCAAGTATATTTTAATAGAAATAGAAAAAACAATCAGATATCTAAATTTCAGGCATTTCTCACAGGCATGGGTTCATTCCTCTAAAAACCCCCACGCTGGGAGGAGAGGACCCACAACAGCCCGATGCTGGGAGCCGGCACCCCCGCTCCACCACTGATCAGCTCTAGGTCTTCCCAGGAGTCTGGGGGGACCCATCTTTCTGGCCTTCATCCCTGCCACCGGCTGCATTTTCTCTACACGCTTGAAAACTCATTTGAAAAACCAGAGAAGCTGAGCGAACCTGGAGAGGCTGGCAGGTGAGCAAAGGGGGCGCTGAGCCCTCAGAAGTCCATCAGGACCCAAAGCAGAGGCGTGTGGGCGGGCGTCATTTGCATGTCCACCATTCGCAGCACTCACCAGAAAGCGTGCGGACAGCCCAATCATCGAGGTCGCCCTTGCACAAATACAATGTCAACAGGAAAATTACTTTAAAGTCTCCCTAGAACAAAGTCCCATTTGAATGATTAGGATTCTTTCCATCTGGTCCATCCCACCCATGCAGCCCCAGATAGCAGAGTAGTAAAACTACGCCCACCTGCTCTGGTTTTCACAAGTTTATAAAAAGAGAAATTGCCCCGAAATTGGCCAGGGTGGTCACGCCGTGCAGCCTTCCCTCTCACCCAAATTCATCTGGCTGTGCTTTTGAGCTAAACATCAGGCATCCTCAGACCTCATAAATTGCCATCCCTCTGCCCATTTAGAGAACAGAAATTCACGACTTGATCTCAATCAAACAGTGTAAAAACCCAAACAAAATTACATCTGGACAGACCAATGGGATGCCAGGTTTTTGCTTGATGAGAAGGGAAATAGCTCAACCCTGGCCCCTTGAAATATAGGCTTTATCTCAAAAAATGCTCATGGAACCTTCACAGAGTCGCAGAGACCAGCTTCCCTTATAATATACAACATAAACTGGATATGGAGCTCATTTTGCTCAGTGCTTTGTGACCTGGAAAACATTTTTTGGAGCCTTAGAAAGAAATTAGTCCATGTTCATCCCCTCCACCCCCAAATGCACTGAGCATCATTTTCTGCTCCTGTAGCCCAGGTGAACAGCAGCCAGGGAACTGGGGCAAAAAAAAAAAAAAAAAAATGCACTGACGATTTCCTGACACAGTTAACAGGCCGTTAAAATTCTGTCCTGCTCAGTGTTAACGTCAGTGTTTGGGGAGTCAGAAGGCTACAACTGTAAGAGAAAAATAGGCGCTCATCACTCTGGCTGGTATCTGGGCACAAAGTAGCTGCAGAGGGAACAGCAAAGCACTGTACGAACCAGTGAGATGGTCCATCGTCCACAAAACAGTTACTAGTGCAAAGTTTGAGTGAATTTTCTGCAAAAAGAAATTGTTTGGTTGTGAGGGTGGATATAAGTGTTAGAAGTGCGTTGTATCTCTTTAAAGAGGGCGATCTCCCCTTTGGAAGCAAAAGTAGGGTTCCTTGAGCTGAGATCCCACCAGACCAAGAGGGAAACCTCAAATGGTTGGGGTCTCCTTCCCTCCTTATGCTCCCCCAGCTCCTGTCTCCAGGGCTGACCTGGGGGACTGTGCGCCTGGGCAGAAGTAGCAGCAGGCTCTATGCAAATGTTTTCTTAATTGTGTCCCGGCCATTACTCCGTTGTGAGGCTTTTAAGATAATTTATTAATTTTATCTGTAACTACCGTGGTTGGAGCAGTGGGCTGCGGACTTCTGCGGTGTGTGTGAGAGAGGTTTCTTCCCGAGTTATTTATTTGATCATGATATTAAATATTAGCAACTCTAACAGCTGGTGTGTTTATCCTGACTTGAGTGTATTAACCTCTTTAGCCCTTTTTTCCAGAAGAAGGACTGGGCCTCCCAGTTTTGACTGTCAGCTGTGGTGCCTGGCGGCCCCGCCGGTTGGCATCCTGACAGGATCTCAAGTCCAGAGCAGCAAGTAAACATGGATGACATTGCAGCGCGAGGGGGACGCGAGCACATGATGACTCGAGGCACCTGCAGCTGCTTGCACCCAAATCAAAGTACAGGCTGAGCTCACTGGGACGGAAAAGCACGGAATTTACCGGGAGTGAGTTGGCTCCGTGCGAGGTGAGGGAGGAGCGGGCTTGGTGGAGGAGACGGGAGGGGAAGATGGAGTCCTGAGCGCTGGCATTTTGCCCATTGACAAGACTCAGCTGAAGCACCTTGGGGGCAATCCCCGGGTCCTAAGGCCCATTGTCTCCCATGTGGCGGGTAGGGATTGGCAGCAGCCAGTGCTGGGCTGACAGGTCCATGAGATGAAGGACAGGCCGGGAAAGCTGTGCTACCGGGTAGGACAGAGCTGATGTTCACTTAACAAGCATGGCTTCAGGCCTACAACTACCTTTTACTGGCCGCGGGACCTCCAATGAGTTATTTAACCTCTTGGCCTCAGTTTCCACATCTGCAACATGGAAATAATTACCCATAGTCATGGTGAGCCCTAGTCCAATGACAGAGTAGATGGATAAAGCACGCCTATCAAGAATTACTAGTTTCTTGTCTCTCCTTACCCTGCAAGAATTGACTTTGGACCCTTCTCCACTGACAGCCCCCACATTTTAAGCCAGCGAGGCATTTCTAGGCTCTGCAGCTCCCTTTCCTCCTGGAGTTGGAGTTAGCAGATCCCAGCAGCTCGTCCCCCCTGTTCTGGAACTGAGTGTCCCTGGAACGCTGGCACAGGGAGGAGGAATACGTAGTGGTCCAGTGTTCAGCTTCACAGGCAAGATGTGCCCCTTGGAAGAGACACATTTTCTTTTAGGGCAGTGGTTCTCAACCTTCTGGCCCTTTAAATACAGTTCCTCATGTTGTGACCCAACCATAAAATGATTTTCGTTGCTACTTCATAGCTGTAATGTTGCTGCTGTTATGAATTGTAATGTAAATATCTGATATGCAGGATGGTCTTAGGCGACCCCTGTGAAAGGGTCGTTCGACCGCCAAAGGGGTCGCGACCCACAGGTTGAGAACCGCTGTTTTAGGGCCACCCGCAGCCTTAGGGGCCTGCAGGGTGAGACCTGTGGATGACTCAACACTAATGGTGGCGATCGGTACACACAGGCGGGGTGCAGAGTCAGGAGGGATGGACAGCCAGGGAGGGAGGCCAGGGTTGCTTAGGGTGGTAGATGAGATGCCTCCATTGTTCCAGAAAGCCAGGTGCTTGGCACCTCCAAGCACGGTCCCGGCCACTCAGTTAAAAAATTATACAGTATTCCAACTCAAAGTAAAGCTTAATCTTTATCTGTTATTCTTTTATTTGCATTTTGACGGGCATCTCTCCTTTCTCTGCAGATCAATGCTTAATTCAAAGGAATGACTTTCTAGTAGTGGAATTTCTAGTATTCGGCACCTTCTGAGGGATGGGAGTGGGGACAAGAGGTCCTTTCCTGCCTTTCCTCTAACCATGCCACGTCACTCAGCACCTACATGTGAGGTGAGCTCTATGTGTACCTCTAAGTCAGGAGTCAGCAAACTATGACCCCTGATTTTGTAAATTAAGTTTTATTGGGCCGTGGCCATGCCCATCTGCTTACTTATTGTTTCTGGCTGCTTTCTGGCCTAATGGTAGAGTTGTGGGGTTGAGACAGAGAATGTATGGCCCGCAAAGACTAAAATATTTACTCTCTGGTCCTTTACAGAAAAGATTTGCCAACCCCAGTCTAGGTTAACATGTAGCTTAGATTGACTATAGTTTAGAGACCTGGGTATGATCCAATCAGAACCTACTTTTGACTCTATCAAAGGCTATTTTCTCTAAAAATATAAAGCATGAAAAAACAAACCATATGTTCAGGTATTTAGAAAAATAATACTAATGCTATCTCAAAGTAAAGCCTTTTACTTTTATCTGATCTAAGACTCACAGTAACCCAGGGGTAGATATTGTTAACCCAGTTTTAGAGGTAGTAAAACTGTGGCTTTGGGATGTTCAATAACTTGGTCTATGTTTCATAGTCGGTAAGGGGTGAGGCTGGGATTCAAATCTGGGCTGAGGGGAGATCTTAACCACCTCTTCTCTAGACTCTTCAAATGGTGACTATTACTACCACGTATCAAGCATTTATTAAATACCAGGTACTATTAGTCTGACTTCCCACATTTTCTCATTCAATCTTTAAACCGACTCAGGTAGGAATTTGCAGCCCGATTCCACATCTAAAGTTTCTGCAGCTTTTATTAAGAGTTCCCCAAATGAATGACCTCAACAGCAATGACGGATGACGACCCTTTATCAGCCCTCCACCTCTCTGATGGAGGCAGAGATCCTGTTAATTCTGCTCCTCCCTGGGGGGTTCAGCTGCTTTCCCACCTTCTTCTGAGCTGGGAGAGCTCAGTGTGTACCCTCCCTCTCCCACATCAAGGCAGCTGGGCCTGTCCTGCAGAGTGGCAGGTGGTAGAGAGACTCTGGGTGTCTAGTTGGGAGATGGGAGGGACAGAATGGACCAAAGCATGGTTTGGCTAAAACGACGAGAGAAGTGTGATTTCTCAGCTGCTGACATGCTCTGGCTCAGGAAAGGCAACAACACTAGTGTTTCCAGCTTCCTCATCGGTCGGAGCCACCGGGTCCCAGATCAGCAGCACTCTGGGCCACCACACCACCAACGCCGCACACTGCGCATGCTCTCTCGCCTTCCCAACCGCCCTCACTGCCAGGATGAAGTGCTGTCTCTCAAATGACTCTGCTGTTGACTGATGATACCACCACGGGCACTCCGGGCCAGATGCACCGGGACAATCTACTGTCTGTGTAAACATTTAGAACCATGTTGCTAAAATTGTTATATGTCTACTTTTTCTAAGACCTTCAAGATACCCAGTTCTGCCCAAGGATCAACTAGAACAAAGATGTTCTGAGTGGCCATGTCACTCAGCAGTGTGGCTTTATTACTGCTCGGTTCCTCCTTGGACTTGAATTCTTCCCGTTTTGCACTGTTTCTGTCAGAAAAGATAAAAGGTGGGATTCGAGAAACTCATGTTTCCTTGGTTACTGCTGTGACATTGCAAACCTTTGGGTGAGGGGCAATTGGTTGGCATCTATCACATATGGGTGTAAGAACAGAGGGAATCACATCTTTGGCCCTATCTGTCATTCTCACTCCTGAACTCTGGACCTGCATAAGCTGTTATCAGTTATATCTCCACCTGGATGTCCTGTAGGTACCTTCAACCCAACAGACTCAAGAGAGCGCCCTTTCTCCTCATGCAGTGGTTATGGGCCTCCCCATCCACTGAGTCCCCCAAATAGCAATCTGGGAGTTCCCCCCTATATCCATTCCTACTCTTGGTGTCCTGGCTTGTCCCTGATCATCTCTCCTGGACTGTTGCCTCCCAGCAACCCTTCCAGCTTGTATGAAACTGCAGACTCTTTGAACAAACACAGATAAAGATGTCAACCAAGAAAAAGCGTAAACAGGGAGGATAGTGTCAACGAAGAACCGAAAACAAGGATCTGCCCTCTGATTACCAGTATAATGAGTGTTTGAAAACCAACCGGTGTACAAGTCAGAGGATTCAGAAGCTGTGGGGCTAGAAGCACGCGGAGTGTCAGCTCTGCTTATCATCATGACTGTCGTTTGCTACGAAACAGTCATTGGTGAATTGTCCCTAACCCCCAAACGAAGTAAACAGAAAACAGGAAATAGGTTCTTGAATTTAACGAAGTTTGATTATCAAATTTTTAAAAACACTGTCTGATTTAAAAAGCTACTTTCATTTGACATGTGTCTTACCTAACGTTTCATGTTTGGAAAGATGAAGCAGGCTTTGTCTATGCAGTGCCCACAGAGCATTGTGAAGTTAGGTAAACAAATAGTGACCTTGGGGAGGTATCTCCATCTTCCCTCACCATCCTGTCCCCCAACAGCAGATGTAGTCACTCATCTCCTCATAACACTATTATAATATTACAGTTATTATCATTATAACACTATTATCATTCCAACAGCAAGTTAGGGGACATCAGCAAAGTCCTCTCCTGAAGAAGTCTCGTGAACAGAAATGGTGGCAGTTAAAGTAGTGCTAACACTAGCTGCACACAAGATACTGTATTGAAATGTGCAAAGTGGGCAGGTGAGGGGAGTGGGGGTGCCCTTGGTGCCCCCTAGAGAAGGTGGGGCTCTTGGGCACCTGCACTTCCCTTTTCATTGTGGGGATGGAAAGAGGGCTCACACACAACTCCCATGTTCTTTGAAGCACTATTCACAACAGCCAAGACATGAAAACAACCTAAATGTCCAGAGATAGATGAATGAATTTTTAAAATGTGGTACATACATACAAAGGGATGTTACTCAGCCTTTAAAAAGAAGGAAACCCTGAAATAGGGATGTGGATGAGAGCTGAGGACATCATGTTAACTGAAATAAGCCAATCACAGAAGGACAAACTGTGTGATTCCACTTATGCATGAGGTATTTAAAACAGATTCATAAAAGCAAAGAATAAAATGGTGATCACTGGGGGTTGGGGGAAGGGGAAAACAGAAGTTGCTAATTGGGGGGCATAAAATTTTAATTATGCAAGATGAATACATTCTAGAGATCAGCTGTACAACACTGCACTGATAGATAGCAATACTGTATTGCCCACTGAAAATCTCATGTTAAGTGTTCATGCACCCACACACACACTCAATCCCTAATGCCTTTAAATATTCAAAAACTAAATTAAACCAAATAAAACCAAACTAAAACATATTGTGACCCTGTTTCTTCTGCTAGTTGCTGCTCAATTTCTTTGCTCTCATCTGCAACAAAACCCTCAAAGGAGTTTTCTCCCAGTTTTATCTATATATAACTGGCATATATTAGTTGAGGGTGTACAGCATAATAATTTGATATATGTATATATTATGAAATAATGAGCACAATAAGTTCAGTTAACATCCACACCTCACAGTTACATTTATCTTCTGTGATGAAAACTTTTAAGATTTACTTTCTTAGCAACTTTCAAATATATGATGCAGTATTATTAACTAGGGTTATTGTGATGACTATATCCCCAAAATTTATTTATATTATAACTGGAAGATTGTACCTTTTTACCACCTTTATCCATTTCTGCCATTTCTTTTCTGTGTCTATGAGTTTGGTGTGTTGTTGTTTTTTAAGATTTTACATATAAGTGAAATTATATAATATTTATATTTCTCCATCTGACTTATTTCACTTAGCTTAATGTCCTCAAGGTCCAGCCATACTGTTTAAAATGGCAGGATTTCCTTATGTTGTATGACTGAATTATATATATATATATATCTCAACTTCTTTATCCATTTATCTGTCAATGAACACTTAGGTTGTTTCCATATCTTGGCTATTGTAAATAATGCTGCAATGAACATAGGAGTGTTTTATGTGTGTGTGTGTTTTAAGATAGTGCTTTTGTTTCTTTTGGATATATACCCAGAATTACTGCTGGATGATATGGTAGTTCTATTTTTAATTTCTTGAGGAACCTCTACCCTGTTTTGCATAGTGGCTACACCAATGTACATTCCCACCAAGAGTGCACAAGGGTTCCCTTTTTTCCACATCCTCACCAACACTTCTCTCTTGTCTCTTAAATGATAGCCATTTTAACGGGTGTGAGGTAACATCTTATTGTGGTTTTGAATTGCCTTTCTCTGAAGATTAGTGAGATTAAGCACCTTTTCATGTACCTGTTGGCCATGTTTATGTTTTTGAAACAATGTCCATTCAGTTCCTCTAACCATTTTTTAAATTGGATTGTTTGTGGGGGTTTTTTGTTGTTTTTTTTGCTATTGAGATGTATGAGTAATTCATATATTTTGGATATCAATTCCTTATCAGATATTTGACTTGCCAATATTTTCTCTTGTTCCATAGGCTGCCTTTTGTTGATGGTTCCCTTTGCTGTGCTGAAGCTTTTTAGTTTGATGTAGTCCCATGTGGTTATTTTTGCTTTTGTTGTCATATCCAATAAATCATTGCCAAGACAGATGTCAAGGAGCTTATCTATCCCATTTTCTTCTAGAAGTTTTATGGTTTCAGGTCTAACATTCAAGTCTTTAATCCATTCTGAGTTGATTCATGTGCAAAGCAGTTTTCTGTGTTATTAACAATTCCCCTCCTCTCATTTTCTCTTAGACCTGATCCAGTTGAGCATCTGCCTCCACAACTCTTGCGCAGGTCACCAGTGACCTCCATGTTGCTATAAAGAATGCTAGCATCTCCATTTTCACCTTTCTTGACCTCCCTCCCACAGCATTTCTTCACCTGGCTCTAAGAACCCCATCTGGTTTGCAGGTTGCTCTTTCTCAGCCTCCTTTGCTGGTCTTCTCCTCTCCAAGCCTCTTGATGTTGGAATGTTCCAGGGTCCTGTGCCCAAGAGTGTCATTGGTTCTGCTCTCTTCTCCAAATTCCCCTGGTGATCACATTCAGTCCCATGGTATTTAAATATCACATATATGCAAATAACTTCCAAATTTATATTTAAAGCTCAGACGACTCCCTCCAGGATAACTTCAGACTTAATCTCCATTAGCATACTCAACATCTCCGCTTGGACATCTATAACAGACAACTCAGATTCCACATGGAACTCCTCATCTCCCCTGAAAGCCTCGCTTTTATCTGAATTGTGGGGAACTCGGCTCTTTTGGTGCTCATGCCCCAAACTTCAGCCTACCACCAATCAGGAAATCTCCTGGCTTCATCTCCACACTGTATTTGAAAATAGACCACTCCTCACCGCCTCCACCTCTGTTGCCTCCATTCATCCTTCTCCTCCTCCCCTTGCCCTCTCTTCTCAACACAGCAACCAGCATGATCTTTTAAAAAATCCAAGATCATTCCATTCCTCTGCTAAAATTCTCCAGTGGCTCCTCATTTATCTCAGAATAACAGCCAAAGATCTCAAAATGACCAGTAATACCTTACAGGATTTAGACACCAGGATCCATCCTCCCTTAACCATCACTCACCCTTAGCCATCCCCATACTCCCTGATCTAGGCACACTGGCCTCCTTGGTGTTCCCCAGGCCCCCTGGTGCTGCACCAGCTTAAGGCCGTTGCACTTAGCAGTTCTCTTGCCTGGAGGCTCTAGCTCTGGTTATCTGCCCAGCTGAGTGGCTCCCTCCCACCAGTCTTTGCTCAAGTATCACCTTCTCAGAGAGGTATAACCTGACCAGCTGCAGAGCACCCTGACTCTGTCCTCCCAGTTTCTCCTTCTCAACTCTACTTTGCTTGTCCACAGCATTCACCACCTTAGAACATATAAGCATTTGCTATTTATTATTTTTATTATTTATTATCCACCTTCCCCCACTGGCATATAAGCTTCAAGAGGGCAGATACAATCTGTTTTGTTTACTGGGTCATCCTAAGCTCATGGCACATTGTAAACACTCAATAAATATTTGTCAAATGAATGAATAATTCATTAGTCTATCACTCTGGAACCAAGGAGGCAGCATGAGGTTCCACAGTGGGTGTTCATCTATGAAGAAACCTAGTGGATTCAGGGTCCCGGGTACAGGAAGGAAGGAGGATTAGTCATTTACCCACATGCCCCTTTCCTGGTGGTTCTGTAAATAGAGATCTAACCTGAGCATCCATCAAAGCAGTGCACCTTCCCGGAGAAAAGTGTTCACAAAGTGCTGGGGGATGGGAGTCGCTAAGGGCGAGACTTTGATTTGCAGGATTTCAGTTTTATTGAAAGCATGTTGGGGTCCTTTCCTCATCATGGGACTGGCCCCCTTTGTCCTTCCTCTTCCATCCCTGCCTCACAGCTACACCCTGCGATCAATCCTCTTCCCCTGGGGGACCAGGCGGGACCTGGCACTCAGACGCACTCATCCGCACAGCCCCAATCGATGCCGAGATCAATGCTGATGTTTGAAATCAGAATCCACCGCGTTCGCTTGCCTGGCGGCATTTTCCTCCGCCACGTTGGGACTCCAGGAGCTGTGGCCTTTTCCCCTCAAAATTGAAAGTGGTTTTTTCAGACA